TTCATTGGAAGGACTGATGTTGAAGCTGAAACTCCAATAGTTTGGCCACCTGATATGACGAATTGACTCATTTGAAAAGACCCTGATGCTGGGAAAGATTGAAGACAGGAGGAGAAGGGGACAACAGAGAATGAGATGGTTGGATGGCATCACCGACTCGATGGATGTGAGTTTGAATAAGCCCCGGGAGTTGGTGATGGACAGGGAAGCCTGGTGTGCTGCAGTCCATGGAGTCACAAAGAGTCAACACGACTGAGCAACTGAAGTGACTGTGTATGCATGCTTAAACATACATGCCTTTAAAAAGTCATAGGTTAGGCACATTACTTATCTCCATTTAAGACACTAAAACTAGGTGATTGAAGCATAGGAACTGACTTTTCTCATGTCACACATGTAGGCAGTTTCATAGACACGTGACACCTCTCTACTGTTGCGCAAGCCCCCACCCCTAAGAAGGAGCCCACTTGGTTGAATTCTCTTCTGCCACCATCTTAAAATTCTCAGGGATTTTTTGACAAGGGCCCTTGCCTTTTCATTTTGCTCTGGCCACCACAACTTATGTAGCTGAACCTGATCACATAGCAACTAAACAGATTAATAACTGAGGGGACAAAAATACTGTTTATCCAATTGAACAAAGATGTTTTCACAGTGACTAATAAATAGTTACCATTTATTGAGTTTTGGTTTTATTAAGTTCTTGATAATGTATTAACTCATTTAATTCTTATAGTTCTCTGTGATTTGGGTATTACTTCCATTAAACGTGTAAGGTAACTGAAGCCCAGAGAAGGTAAATTAACTGAGGCCACACAATTAGCATAGCTTGAACAGGAGTCAAATCTTTTTGACTTCAGATTCCATGCTGTTACCATTAGACTCTTGCTGTGTCTAATTTTAGTTGGCTCCTGTGTGCGTGTGATCTGTAATGAGAGTTTTATATTCCCAGGCTGCTTTTAATCATTTTTCTTTGTATTTAATTTTTGTTAGTTTGATGAATATGTGTCTCGGCGTGTTTCCCCTTGGTTTTATCCTGTATGGGACTAGTGCTTCCTGAACTTGATTGACTGTTTCCTAATGCACTGTAGTGACCTGGATGGAGATGAAGTCCAAAGGGGAGGGGAGAGATGTGTGTGTATGGCTGGTTCATTTTGCCGGATGGTAGAAACTAACACACTATAAAGAAACTGTACTCCAATAAAAATTAGTTTAAAAATAATAAAATGCATTAGGGTGAGGATGCACAGTGATATCAAATAAATTAGTCTATTAGTAAAAAAAAGTTTGAATTCTATGATCTTCTTAGTGAATTTGTGACTAAGACATCTACATTTCATTCGCAGCAAATCTACATAATGGACTTTTAACAAAATATAAATTAGCTCAACAGTACATGAGACAATGACCTTGTTTTCTACTTCCTTTAGTCATGTCCCCACTTGTTTTTCATTTGAACATCCTGCAGAGAGGATGATAAACAGTAAAAGTGGTAAAGGAGACAGAATTCAAGGAGTTTAATTTCCATCAAATTAGTATCTCTAGTAAAAGTAACTTGAAATTAATGATAAAAATGAGATGTGGGAGCTATCTGTAGATTTATTTCATTCACATCTTGTTTTTACTACTTTGGATAATTAATGGGTGATCGAAACAGAGTTAGCAAGATTGAGGCCAATTTAATTATTTAGTGTTAATTGAGTGCATAAAATGTTTTATCTTCCTTCTGTTTAAACTTGCTAGATCCATTGTTGAAAAGGTATCTTCTCTCTTCTCTGTTCACTTCTCCAACTGACATCTTGCCTAAAGAATTGCTTACTTGAAAACCAAGGGATCATTTCTTAGTGGGTCGTACATCTTTTATATTTGTGAGCTAACATTACTGGATTTATACTTTTAGGAAAGTCAACTGCTTTTTATTGAGCTCCTACATTATACTGAACTCCAACTCTGTATTATTATAAATAATATGATGCCTGAAATCAAGGATTTTCCAAGGGAGACAGGAAAGAAAAAGATAAAGCAGAAAGGCTGTACATGTCAGAAATGATGAAATACAATAGCCGTTTAGTAAAAAAGCTTTTCTTCTCATATTCTTGAAAAAGAGTTTATGTTCTTAAAATTCCCAGAAATGAAATGAATATAGGAGAGTTAGATCCCATCTGAGATATTGGATTAGAGAAAAATAGCTTTACTTGTTTCTCTTAGTCCTAAAATCGTGGGAGCTCAGCCCTCAGCTGGGAGACAGTCCCAACCAAATTCGCCTGAATCGAAACAATCCACCACTGAACAGGAGAATAAATGTTAGTTGTTGCATGCCTCTGAGTTTTGCATCATTATCGTGGCAATAACTTCCTGAAACAATTCTTTACGATTGTTCAGAATATTCGTGTCTCCCTCATGGCTCTGGACAGAGGGAGAAAAAAAAGTCAGGGATTTTATTCTCCATTAAAGCATTTCCTTTTGTTCTGAGCAACTATTTTCTTCAAGTGACTTTTTTCTTGTAAGATTTATTTGTTAGCCCAGAGAACTCTGAAATTATACCTCTTATTCTCTTGTGTATTTAGGAATGGAAAACTGATGTCTTGTGGGTTTCCTAAAACAGTGTATGTTTGCAAAATTTTTGGCACTTGAAAGGGTTAAAGGGTAAACGATCTAAAAGTCTAATAGAAAAGGGACTAATCAATTAATTATTATACATCCATATGATAGACTACTGTCATCAGAGTACCTTTTTTATTACGAAAGACACATATAGTAACATGAAAAATTCTCACAATGTTAATGTTAAGTGAATAGAAATTATCTGATAAATAATATACTTTTTATTCATTCAACAAGTATTTATTAACCACTTGCTTTATGCAATGTTCTCAGTGTTAATCCCAGTTTTATTCCACAGCTTTATTGTGTTATAATTGACATACAATAAACTATATGTGTAAAGTGCAGATGGTCCCTAACTCACAATGATTTGATGTGCAATTTTTCAACTTTATGATGGTGCAAAAGCAATATGTATTCAGTAGAAACCATATTTCAAATACTTCAAATTTTGAACTTTGATCTTTTCGCAGGCTAGTGACTCGTGGGACAATACTCCCAGCTCCCAGTCAGCCATGTGATCAAAAGTGAAAATGACTGATACGATTGCAACCATTCTGTTTTTCAGTTTCAGTATAATGTTCAATTAACTACATTGGATAATCAGCACTTTATTATAAAATAACTTTTATAATAAGTGTTAGATGATTTTGCCCAACTGAAAGTCAATGTACATGTTCTTAGCACATTAAAGTAGGGGAGGCTGAGCTATCATGTTTAGTAGGTTAGGTGTATGAAATGCATTTTCAACTTAATATATTTTCAATAAACAATGGGTTTATCAGGTTGAAACCCCACCCTGAATCAAGGATGATCTATATACAATTTGATTAGCTTTGATATATGCAAAAACATGAAACCATCACCACAATCCAGATAACAAACATATTCATCACCACTAAAAGCTTAATCATCCTTTGTATTACTTTACAGTCCTGCCTGCTGCCATTGTTCTTAACCCCTCCTCATTTCCAGACAACCACTTCTCTGCTTTCGGTCACTATGGAGTAGTTCACATTTCATAGAATTTTATGAGTAGAATCAAACAATACCATTTTTTGGGGTCTGACTTTTCTTCACTCAACCCAATTATTCTGAGAGTCAGCCATGTTATTATGTGTATCAATAGGACTCTTTTTTTTTTCTTAATAACTGCATAGTATCCATTGTGTGGATATACCATGATTTATTTATCCACTCAGCTGTTGATGGACATTTGGGCTGGTAGGACTTTGGGGCTGATAATATTGATTTTCTAAAATGAAAGTGTTGATTTCAACATGAGTTGTATTCTATTTATAAATTGTAGATTTTTTTTTCCCATTTGGCTATGCCACATGGCTTGTGACATCTTAGTCCTCCAACAAGAGACTGAAAGACCACTGCCCTTGGCTGTAAAAGCATGAAGTGCTAACCTCTGGATTGCCAGAAAATTCCCTAAATTGAGTTTATTTTTGTGTGAATGATCATTCTTATTTTTCTTCTGAAATTAATATTCAGTTAACCCAAGTTGAAAAGACTAAACACCTCGAGTAGTATATTTACAAACTTAGTTAATACAAATCCTTTAAATACTTTAAATTTCCTTTGTAAATTTAGTATATCTGGTTTTTAAGTACTTCAAATCCTTGAAAAGACAAATTTACAGGCCTAACAAGCAAAATCTTCCTAAATAGTTAAAAATATATGTCTAAAATTTGTGTTTTAGTGTAATTAGTGTGATGTCTTCTTCTGTATTTGTTTTTTTTAATTTTTGGCTGTAGCGTTAAGCCTGAGGGATCTTCGTTCCCCGAGCAGGGATCCAACGCAGCCTCGCCAGTGGAATCTCAGAATTCTGACCACTAGACAGCCAGGGAACCCCTTGTACTTTTTATAATGAAATATCTTTGGATATTTATTAGTAAAAAAACATCCAAAATGTGAATTTGGCTGTTTCTGGATTACAAGTGATTTTAGCTTTTCTACCTTTTACTTTGCTGTGTTTTCTTCATTTCCTATAATAAATTCATATTATCTTTATAATCAGAATAAGCAATGAAAGTTCCTAAAAGCAAAAATCAATGCATAATATCACTTTAAAAACCAAAATATATTCTCTCACTGTATCCTCTTTCTCTGGTCTTTTCTTTCTCCTCAGGAAATATCAAGACCTTAGAAAGCAATAGTAAGAGATACAGGGAGGTTGTGGGAGGGGCACAGTGGTGGTGGTATCTGCAGGAGGGGAAATACCTAACATGAGGTAATCACTTGATAAAGTAACTGGAGATGCTGGTGAATACCTGATTGTGAATACTGGGTTTGAGGTTAAGCAAGCAATTGATAGTTGTTTTTTTTTTTTTTTTCTGCATTTGTTTGCAGGACAGCAAGAATCACTTGATGATTAGTTTTTCAGCATAATGGCATCTGTAAACAGAAAGAGTGAAATAATTAAAAAACTTAAAACAGACAAATGTCTCCTGGAGGACATAAATGAAAGGCGAGAATCCAACTGCCTGGTGGAAAGAAGCAATCAAGTCAGCTTATTGAGAGTTCAAAAGAGGCATTTCCACAGTGCCTACAAGTCCCTTACTCATGATCAGGTCAAAGAAATTGTTCCTGACAGTGACAGGAGCTCTTGGGTCAAACTGAGTCTCTTCGTTCACAAGGAGAAAAGGCACTTTCCACCAAAAAGTAAGATGCTGCAGTAGGATTCCTACCCAGTTGACAGGAGGGATCTATAAGTAAACTTAGGAGTTATTTCTAGGATTGAAAGAGGTTCATACATATTGTTCTGGGAGAGTTAAAAGGCAGTCTGTTTGAAGTTAAAAGCATCAGTATACTAGGCTAGTTGACGTAAATTAGGCTAGTAAGATCTACTATAGACCAGAGATCCTCGTTTCCTCGTGTTTACAGGATTTGAGGGATCATCTCCACACTGGCTCATTCAATAGGCTCTAGTTTGGGTACTGGAATATGCATTCTCAGGCAGGCAGAGGTGATACTGAGCCTGATGGCCTAAGAACCATATTTTGAGAAGGGTCTAGAAGCCTCCTTGTTCATCAATTTCTGTTACGTCTGCAAAAATGTCTTATGCAAAATTGAGATACAGTGGAAATTATTTTGATGACAAATATCAAACAAAAAAACCTGAGACACAATAATAAAATGTGGAGGAAGTTTGGGGTGAGGTGGTGTGTGGTGTTGGTGGTATTATTTTGCAAGGGGGGGAGGAAGAAGAACTGCTGGTAAATACTTTAATTGTTAAATACTTGTTTCTAAGTCAAGACAAGCAACTGATGTTATTTTTCCATTTATTTTGGGAAAAAAAGTATAATTATGTTAAACATAACCAACAAATGATTAAGTTAGATCACAAACAAAATAATTGCCATATTGGAAATTTAACTTCTTTGATGTCAAGGCTGTGACTATACACCTGACTGACTACGGTTCATAAACAGGGCAGAGAGGGTGATGCAGAGTGGCCTGGAAATCTGAGATTCTCCATTGTGTTTTAAGGTTGATCTGTAACAGTCATATGTTAACTTTGCTCAAAAAATAACTCTTTTACAAGGAGGAAGTATTCCACTTCCCTGGTAGCTCAGTTGGTAAAGAATCCGCCTGCAATGCAGGAGACCAGGGTTCTTTCCCCGGGTCAGGAAGATCCATTGGAGAAGGAAATGGCAACCCACTCTTGTATTCTTGCCAGGGAAATCCCATTAACAGAGGCACTTTGCGAGCTACAGTCCATGGCATCTCAAGAGTCAGACACGACTTAGTGACTGAACCACCACAATTCTAAGAGAACCCGAACAATCTCAATCACAAAAAAGAAGAAATAATGCCATTTTCAGCAACATGGGTGGACATAGAGATTACTATACTAAGTGAAGTAAGTCAGAAAAAGAAAGACAAATACCATACGACATCACTTATACGTGGAATCTAAAATAAAACTCAAATGAACAGAAACAGACTCACAGATATTTTGAAGCTCTCTCTTTAATTTTCTATTTGGAGATATGTCAGTCAAAAGAGGGAGAGTCTTACTTAACCATGCCTTAAAAATGGAAGACTTGGTGTCTTACTCAGTTTGGGCTGCGATAACAAGTTACTATAGACTGAGTGGCTTAAAAAACTAACTTTATTTCTCACAGTTCTGGTGGCTGGAAGTCTGAGTCAGGGTGCCAGCATGATTGGGTTCTTGGAGTTCCCTTTTCCTAGTTTTCAGAGAGCTGTTTTCTTGCTGTATTGTTACACAATAGAAACAGCTGGCTAGTTTTTTGGGCTCTTCCTGTAAGGGCATGAATCCCTTTCATAAGGACTCCACTCTCAAGACTTAATTACCTCCCAAAGGCTCCACCTCCAAATACCATCCCATTGGGATTAGAGTTTCAGCATAAGAATTTGGAGAAGCACAAACATTCAGGCCAATGCACTTGGGTTCAGGTTCTGCTTCTGTGATTGAGTGGTCTCATGCTTTTAGTCCTTTAGTGTCTCTAAGCCTATTCCTTGTATCTATGAGACAGTGGCACTGGCACCCCACTCCAGTACTCTTGCCTGGAAAATCCTGTGGATGGAGGAGCCTGGTAGGCTGCAGTCCATGGGGTCGCTAAGAGTCAGACATGACTAATCGACTTCACCGTCACTTTTCACTTTCACTCATTGGAGAAGGAAATGGCAACCCACTCCAGTGTTCTTGCCTGGAGAATCCTAGAGACGGGAGAGCCTGGTGGGCTGACGTCTATGGGGTCACACAGAGTCGGACACGACTGAAGTGACTTAGCAGCAGCAGCAGCATGTAACAGTACTTCTCCTCTGCCTTCAGGGTTATTTTGGAACTATGAAATGTATTATAAGATATGTAATAGATAGTTATTCTTTTATTTTTCAGATAATGCCATATTTGGATAAAGTCCATCTACAAAGACACATAGAAACACAATCTCTTTGATCCTTCTTCAATATCCGTCTAAATTATTTACAAATATTAATTATAAGAGAAGCCAAAGAAAACTATTCACTAGATCATCAAGAAACCATTGAGCCACACAAAATGTATTACATCTTCACTGCCTTCCATCATTTAGACTTAAATGTTTTGAAGAGAGGATGTGAGTTATTAAAGATACTTTCAGAGATGGATGACCTAAACGTTCACTTCACAGTGATCTTCTCTTTACGAATTTAAAATGTTCAAATAGTTTATATTATTTCTTTTTTTTAGAGTTACAAGTGTTTTACTTTTATTAATTCTTTCTAAAAAAAGGTTTTGTTTTGTATTTTTTAATTTAGAAGGAAATGACAACCCACTCCAATATTCTTGTCTGGGAAATCCCCTGGACAGAGGAGAGTCTGGCACGTTACAGTCCATGGGACCGAGAAAATGTGGGACATGACTTAGTGACTAAACAACAAAAAACATGGTTAATTTATAATATTATGTAAGTTTCAGACGTACTGCATAGCAATTCAAACATGCATAAAACATAAATATATATATATGTATATATATATACTTTTCTCGGATTCTTTACCTTTACAGGTTATTACATAATATTGAGTATAGTTCCCTGTGTTATACAGAAGGTCCTTGTTGATTATCTATTTATATTTATACATAGTATAAATAGTAGTATATATATATTAATTCCAGCCCTTAATTTATCCTTCTTCCCACACCCAAAGTTTATATTGTTTCTGCAAATCAGTGGAATGTATTGACCAACCACACCAGTCAAGTTGAAGGCTAAAGTTTGCCGAAGTTAACATTTGCTTCTATTGATTACTTATATTACCTTGCTCTGTTAGAGCAATGATTTGATAATATGAATAAGTACATACTTGAGAAGGTAATAGAAGATTCCTATAGAGGCTTCTGTTGTATATCATTGCTGTTGTTGTTCAGTTGCTGCTAAGTCATGTCTGACTCTTCAACCCCATGGTACTGCAGCACTCCAGGCTTCCCTGTCCTTTACTATCTCCTGGAGTTTTCTCAGATTCAGGTCCACTGAGTTGGTGATGTTATCCAACCATCTCAGTCTCTGTCAACCCCTTCTCCTCCTGCCCTTAATCTTTCCCATCATCAGGATCTTTTCCAGTGAGTCATCTCTTCTCACCAGATGGCCAAAGTATTGGAGCTTCAGCTTTAGCATCAGTCCTTCCAATGAATATTCAGGGTTGATTTCCTTTAGGTTTGACTCCATGGGACGCTCAAGAGTCTTCTCCAGCACCACAGTTCAAAAGCATCAATTCTTTGGCACTCAGCTTTCTTTATGGTCCAACTCTCACATCTGTACATGACTCCTGGAAAACCATAGCTTGACCTATACAGATTTTTGTCAGCAAAGTGATGCCTCTGCTTTTTAATATGCTGCCTAGGTTTATCATAGCTGTCCCCCTAAGGAGCAAGTGTCTCTTAATTTCATGGCTGCAAGTCACTATCTACAGTGATTTTGGAGCCCAAGAAAATAAAATTTGTCACTGCTTCCGCTTTTTCCCCTTCTATTTTTCCATGAAGTGAGGGGACCAGATGCCATGATCTTAGTTTTTTGAATGTTGAGATTTAAGCCAGCTTTTTCGTTCTCTTCTTTTGCCCTCATCAAGAGGCTCTTTAGTTTCTTTTCACTTTCTGCCATTAGAGTGGTATATATCTGAGGTTCTTGATATTTCTCTCAGCAATCTTCATTTCATTTTTTGATTCATCCAACCTAGCATTTCACACGATGCACTCTGCACATAGGTTAAATAAGGAGGGCAACAATATACAGCCTTGTGGTACTCCTTTCCTAATTTTGAACCAGTCAGTTGTTCCTTGTCTGGATTTAACTGCACACAGGTTTCTCAGGAGACAGGTGGTCTGTGTATCATTGCCCACCCCAAGTGGGCATTGCTTAAATCATCTCATGGTCCAATCCTATTTGGCTAGGGTGGCCTATCTTTCACTGATGCTTGGATAGCAGACTAATTTTCAAATTTTATCCTGGCTTATGCTCCGTATAGTAGTTTGAGTTAATTGCTATTCGATTTCTATTAAGAGCCTATTTCATATGGCAAGCTGAGCACTGCCTGGCCTGGAACACAGCTGTTTCTTGGCATTTGTCTTTATATTAGTGAAATATTCACCTTTTATTTGGCTGCCCTTTGCCTCCATAGAAAGCTCAGATTCATAAGCCAAAGGATTTTAATATTGAAGGGGGATGAACCAGGAAACTGGCCTACAACCCTACCTCAGCTAACACTGCACCAGGGCATAGTATGAATAAGATCCATCAGATCTGAGGGCATGTAAAAAAAAAAAAAAAAAACACAACACACCAGACCCAAACCTAAGCTTTTGCTTTTCAAGAAGGCAAACACCTAGTAGTGTCAGGAGCTGTGAAGGGTTAGCCTGCCACAGTTTCATGGGCATTGACAGAAGACATAAGACTCCTGGTTCTGAGGCAAAGGACTTGTTATTTGGAGCTCAGCAAGTAGCACAAAGCTCACATACCTGCTGATTCCTCTTGCCCTCCCCTCCATCTTCCCTTTTCTAAAATCCGCAGGACACTATGGAGCTGTTTAGGTAGATGACACACACACAGAGATTCTGCCTCATGGCTAAAGACCACTAAGGTCAAGAGAGCCAGTCTTTGCCTGCTGGAAGACATTCTCTTTATTATACTGGACAGGATATAAACCCTCCCTTTGATTCGGTGGGGACATTATCTCTATCTACCAAGACCCATGATAATATAAATACCCTTGAAGAGATAGCCTGAAACAAAAGCTTTTGGTCCCTCTGGCACAAAACTGCAGAAATGTGAGAGACCTGTGTATGGAGAATGATCTCCCAACACCTGGCAGCCCAAGTAAAGGCTGCAAATACAGCGCCAATCTTTTCTTGGTTCAACCTAAGATTTTTCCTGTAGTCATGTGTAGATGTGAGAGTTGGACCATAAAGAAAACTGAGAACTGAAGAATTGATGCTTTTGAACTGTGGTGCTGGAGAAGACTCTTGAGAGTCCCTTGGACTGCAAGGAGGATCAAACCAGTAAATCCTAAATGAAATCAGTGCTGAATATTCATTGGGAGGACTAATGCTGAAACTGAAACTCCAATACTTTGGCCATCTGATGCGAAGAACTGACTCATTTTAAAAGACCCTGATGCTGGGAAAGATTGAAGGGAGATGACAGAGGATGAGATGGTTGGATGGCATCACCGACTCGATGGACATGAGTTTGAGCAAACTCCGGGATATGGTGATAGAAAAGGAAGCCTGGTGTGCTGCAGTCCATGGAGTCGCAAAGAGTCGGACACGACTGAGCGACTGAACTGAACAGAACTGAAGATGAATCATAGGAGATAAACAAATAGTAAATGATGTCTGGTTGTATACAATATACTTAACTTTTCTAACCTCATTTCAGTCCCCACTACTTCCTCCCCAACTACTTGTGGTTTTCTGCTTTATTCTGTCACCACCCACCTTCCACCTTATTCTGTTCACTTGGCCAGCTTTAACTTTACAGTAGTCCCCTCACCCCAATCCACAGTTTCACTATTCATAGTTTCAGTTACTTGTCGTCAACCATAGCCTGAAAATATTAAATAGAAAATTCCAAGATCACCAGCCCAGGTGGGATGCATGAGACAAGTGCTCGGGCCTGGTGCACTGGGAAGACCCAGAGGGATCGGGTGGAGAGGGAGGTGGGAGGGGGGGATCGGGATGGGGAATACATGTAACTCCATGGCTGATTCATGTCAATGTATGACAAAACCCACTGCAATGTTGTGAAGTAATTAGCCTCCAACTAATAAAAATAAATGAAAAAAAAAAGAAAATTCCAGAAATAAGCAATTAATAATAAATTTAAAATTCTGCACTGCTCTGAATAGCATGATGACATCTCACTCTGTCTTGCTCCATCCTGCCTGGGACATGAATCATCCGTCCCTTTGTCCAGCGTATGCTGCCCAGTAGTCTCCTGGTAGCTGACTTGATTAACAGACCAACTATCTCAGTATCACAGTGTTTAAGTAACCCTTATTTGATAATGGCCCCAGAGCACAAGAAGTGCTTCCGTTAAGTGAAAAGGTAAAAGTTTTAGACTTAATAAGGAAAAGAAAAAAATCCTTTGCTGGGGTTGCTAAGATCTACAGTAAGACTGAAACTTCTATGTGTGAAATTGTGAAAAAGGAAAAAAAATTTGTGCTGCCTTTGCTGTTGCACCTTGAACTGCAAAAGTTACAGCCACAGTATGTGATAAGTTGAAAAAGTATTAAATTTGTTCAACAAGACATTTTGAGAGAGTCCACATTCACATAATTTTTATTATAGTATACTGTTATAATTGTTCTATTTTATTATTAGCTATTGTTAATCTCTTACTGTGCCTAATTTATAAATTAAACTTTATCAGCCCTTTGGCATTAAACTTTAAAAGCCCTTCTAGGCTTTTCTGGATGGCCCAAGAACTGACATGAGATAGATTAGCAGGAGAAAATCAAATAAAGTTTAATAATGTGTATACATGAGAGAGACCCAGGAAACTTCAGTAACTTTCCAGAATGGCTGAAACCCTTACCTTAAAAACCATCTTCAGCTAAAGACTAAAGAGGATATTGGGGGTAGTGGTTTGGGACTTCAGCTGGGAGGAAGGCAATTCACATGAAGAGAAAAAGTCCTCTATCTAAATTCTTTTAGGCAGGTAGGACAAATGGTCTTCTTGAGTCCTCTGGCAATTGATTGTTTTCTGTTTGAATTAATCCATGTGTTGCAGGAAGGGGGGACCCCTTTCAGGGCTGGAAAAGGGCCTCTTGTCTAATACTCAGAAATGAATTGTCCTAGGAGGCACACGTGCTGACAAAGCAAAAGGCGTTATTGGGAAGGGGCCCCCTGGGCGGAGAGCAGGAGGGTGAGGGAGCCCAGA